ACGGCCGCTTCTCATATAACGGTAAATTTCAGAAATGCTTGAAACTTCAATATTTCGAAATTGAAGGACGCTAATTTACTCAAAATTGATACACCCCGGCTTACCATCTAGCGGAAGGTTTCGGAAAGGTGAAAAAACATATATTTAATACTTGCGCCGGGTATTTAATGTTCGGCTCCGCCCGAACTTAGACTTTCTTACTTGTTTTGAATGAAGTAGTACTGGTCGACCAAAAAAGGATTTTAGCAAGTGCAGTTTAAAAACTAAAACATGGTCAGCGTCCCCAAAAACCCTCGAGTAACAAGTTTCGAGCGAATTCAATAAATTTTCAAAAATTATTTCGTCATATTTTATCCGCGAAAGCAAAAAGTGCTTGCTAGTAAAACAGACGTGCTTTCTTGAGCTCCGTACATTCCATACTGTTTTCGTGTTTTTTTTCTGCTTTATAAACATAAGCTGGTCTTATGTGAATTTGCTTCGGCTCGTGCATCTGAGCGTGTTGTTGTAAAATGTACATCATCACCTGGGCATTAACAAGAAACGCTTAAGTTTGTCAGCTGGATACCTGCTAAGTTTTTATTTTTCTGGTGAGTTATGTCTTCTACTCCTGCTGTACCTCTCAAACGACGTTCGAGTAAAGGCTATCCCTCCAACAACATGAAAGCTGCGAAGTTGGATGAGAGCACAGTCTTAAATACATACTTTCAACGCTGCGAGATTTGGAGGAAAAAGTGCAAAGACAAACAGACAAATTGAAGTTGGTGTTCGAGGGGATCTCATCCAGGGCATCTAGTTGCATTACAAAAAAAAAAGAAACAAATATATGGGAAGAAATACTTGTGCCATAAAAAATAGATTACAAAAAATATATTTTTTTTAAATTAAATTTAAGAAAAACAAAAAAAACCTAAATAAAAAATATAAATAAAAGAAATATTATAAAACAAAAATAAAATAAAAAAATTTTCCCTGCACCAGGGCTTGAACCTGGTACCTCAGGCATACCACGCGAGTGCTTTGCGCTGTTGGCCTTTGCGACTGTTGGAGCGCCGCGAGCAAAAAGGCATACTAATGCTTTTCAAAGGGGATGAATTATCAAACTATCTCATCAACTGGTATGATGCTACTAGTATTTCTACTAGTAGATGCTGATGCATAGCCTGACAATTGACATCTCGTAGGACATCGCAATGTTAAAAATACCA